GTTACGTTGGAAGCCGTTAACGGTCGTTTGACTAAACTATTCGTTTGTGTCGACTTCGCACTAGATTTGGTCGGCAACTTTGATCTACACTTGCACATTTTTAATACATACTACTACGTATGTTACTTATTCGGTTTAAAAAGTGCAGAAAATATCATTCAATTGAACAACAACAGTAGTTAACATTTAAAGGGTACATGTATGTGTAACGAACTCATGAATGCTTCCCTAGAGTATTCTGTAAGTGATTTATTCACAGTAATTAGACAGTCTCGTCCTACGCTGTACCCGAGCAGTTATCTTCATAATAACTGTATCCAGTGCGTGCCTGCAAGTCGCCGGATTGGGCAGTACTGGGCAGAAGTTCACAGACACATTGGTTATTTCCAGCACAGAGAACGTTTATGGCCGCACACTTCCAGCGCTGCATACAGGAGATGCTGCATTCGATGAGGCTGCCGACATTCAGCGTGGATAGGGGCACAAGGGTTGCGCGAGCATCTGCTGCTACCTGCTTGAACGTCATTGAACTTCTTAATCCTAGACAAAAAATAAAACATCAATTCACTATAGGGACTTCAAAGATTATGACGAAAACGTAGCTGATGGTTATGTCGACATTAAATCAATTATGAAATTAGTCAGATTTATAGATTTTAGCTACTAGTATCTTCAACTTTTAAAAAACATACATGTACATGTATTAACAAATTAACAACGCGAAATACTTGAGGCCCGCTTGTAAAAGTGATTTTGAGGAACGCATTAACTCGCCATGGACCTCCACTTCACAAAGCTGCAAGTTATAGTCGTCACTATCAACTTTGATGATCAAGACATATCGTCCTGTCAGTGGTGACCCACAGGACAGTGATGTGTTCCCCTCAGGTGCCACCCCCGGGTTTTTTTTTTTTTTTTTTTAACAGATTTTTTTTTACATCAAGNTACATGTTATTCAATATGACGCATATAACAGTCATATGTTTTTTTTTTTAAACAGATTTATTTCTACAATCAAGATATACAAAAAAAATACATTCAGAGCAGGCGGCACGTCGCCACAGCATTATGGGCTCGCTTGCGTTAATGTAATTCTAGTAACAAAATGACTTAAATATGATTATATATAGGTAATGATTATAGTTATGATAACACTAAATAGTACTTATTGTTGTAAAGGAGAGCAACAGGGAAGGGCACTACAGGGAAAGGCACGGGCGATATACTCACCATGGACCTCCACTTCACAAAGCTGCAAGTGATAGTCGTCACTGCCAACTTTAATGATCAAGACATATCGTCCTGTTAGTGGTGATTCACAGGACAGAGACGTGTTCCCCACAGGAGCCTGCCCCGGGTAACTGGCGCAGAGTTTGTACTGGGTGAATGATGAACTATTATCGTAAGAGGTTCCAACTTTCACTTCGAAATTAGTCAGACGGTAAGCTGAAAATAAAAAGTGTCAAATTGTTAAATTTGAGTTTACATTTTGATCATACTTGTTTGCCCGTTAGCGACAAATTAAATAGCACATTAGCAGTGGAAAGATATATATTATCATGGAAAAAGAGATAAATGCACGGATTGAAAGAGGGACACTATTTCGGGAATTAAGTGGAAATAGAAACGAAAAATAAAAGCAATTCTTACAGCAGCAGTCGCGACGGTTTGTTATGATAACACCGGCCACCCTCGCCGTGGTTTTTAAGTCCACCAGCCACCATCCTCCCTGACCAGCATCGGTGATGGAACAACTCCCATGATTACCGTTGTCGTTATAGTTACCATCCACAGCACGACTGGCATGGTACAAGTCCGTTATTCCGTACCAATTTTGGTAGGTGGAACTTTGGTATGCGGGTTTTCCTTTGGCCAAATTCTGCGTGCAACCTCTGCATGGTGTTGTACCTGCCGTGGAAAGATATCAATAACATCAATTATTATTATTATTATTATTATTATTATTATTATGTGCAACTATAAACTGGATGTTACAGTGAAATTCTAGTATACTGGTGCATATTAAGATATTTAAGAAATAATTTTCAATCTAAAACGGATTGAAAGGACATTTAAAGAACAAATTTAAATTCAGAAACAAATATATAACCACACAAATGAATAATGTTATGATATTGTGCCACGCTGTAGGCCTATATCAAATTATTGCAAAAAAAGTTTTTCAGCTCTACGACGGATCAATATTCAAACACCACTTTTGACTTGTGCAATTTGTTTCTGCCAAACTTACCTAAAAGTATCACAGTAACTCCGACAAGAAGCAGTTTTAGGGGCACCATGCTCATTTCAGTCACCGATCATCGTTATTCCAGCAGTTTTCAATGGCAGACAAATCAAGAAAACGCTCCGTTCTTGTCCAGTTGTTGAGTTGCTAAGAGTAACTACAGAACTGGAGTAACTGCAGAAACTCCTGCAGAAAGGTTCAGTTGACGCTTAGTTCAAAAGATCGCTAATGCGACTTGTATTCATCAGTTATCTAATAGATAGATACAAAGCTGAAACCGTGTGTTCTCTACGTGCATGTCGCATGGAATAGAACCTTATCATTTATTCATCTCTATATTTTTGTAACATCTTTCCGTCCTATCAGTGCCGAATGTCAATTATAAAATTTGTTTTGATGTATTTTCGACTGCTCTTTATTTATGCAACTGAGCCGGTTCGTTCTCTCTCTTGCAGGTGAGCCCTCACAATCAATGAAATTCCCATTACATTATCAAGGTAATAATAAGAATAATTTTTCAAATTGCTTCCTGGTGTATTTTTGTTTCAGATCCATGCTTTATTGGTAATCAATTATTTAAAATTAAAATATGAGTGATGTGTTCACCGTGCGTCTTTTCACATAGACATTCGAGGTTCAAAAGGTCCATTCGAGCTTTCATGACACGTTTGCGAATTGTATAAATCAACATTATTTTCAAAGGAAATTAAATATGAACTATACCTTCATAAAGCAATTCAGTGGAAGCCTTAGTTTTATAACCTGTAATCTATAAAACTTAGTTTTATAGATTACAGGTTACTTTTCATCATCCAAAATAAACTAATAAAGATAAGATGAAGATGATCCAGCACAAGTCCCTTGTCACGTTTTCATATCATGCACCTATTATTTCTAAAAGTATTCTCAAAATGCGTAAAGAAAAAGTGTTATCTTATAATGTTGTTTGGAAAACTTCTTTTTCTTCCGACTACACGTCTTCTCCCCCGTTCACCTCCAGCTTAAAATGACCACTCAGCTTCGCTTCTAACACCACTACACGTCACTTCCGGGCACAATCAGTCTCCTCCGGTACCCTTTATTGGATATATTGAGCTACAGTCCGTACTGTAGATACACATATGAAAGATTAACACTGTTATTTCTGCTGCTTTAGAGTAAAACTTTACACTGTTCATAAACACATTTCTATATGTCCGCCTCGCCCTTTGTGACGTTTATTTATTTTTTACATATTAACCCTCATCCACCTTTCAGGGGCCTCGCAGGCCCGGACCCATGTATCTTTTGCTCTCTCTTCGTTCACATGAGGTTTTGAGCCTGTTCCTTTCATGTAATCCTCAAGCAACTTATACCCCATCAGTGGATAAATAATTAGTTTTGAAATAATTTACACCATATGTAGAAATTAACTTTTGGAAAACTTAGTCCCATTTCCTGGAAACCGGGCCTCTGAGGCCCGGTGTAACATGAAAATCTGACTCCCCCCATGAAAATTTGACTCCCCCTCCACAAAACTTCATAAATCTTATTTTATTTGAGTATATGACTGTGATCTTGTAGTATGTAAAATGGAGGATACATTGGCACTTTTTTTAGTTTGCAGGTGGATATTTTCATTAAAAAATAAGAAAATTAAAAATGTGCACTTAACCGCCCATTGCCTCCCCTATGAAAAAGCTATTTATTTGATATTGGATGATCATTTCTACATCTTTCCTATAAATTTACTTTATGAAGATTATATTGGAAATATTTGTAAGTTTGATGGTGGACTATTGGGTGAAAAAAAAAACATGAAAAATAAGAAAATAAAAAATGTGCATTTTATCACCCAATAACTCCCCTATGAAAAAGCTATCTATTTAATATATGATGATAATTTCAACACCTTTCCTTAACTTTTACTTTATGAAGATTATATTGGAAATATTTAAAAGTTTTACTGTAAAATATTGGGTGAAAAAAAACTAAAAAACATGAAAAATAAGAAAATTGAAAATGTGCATTTTATCACCCAAAAACTCCCCTTTGAAAAAGCTATCTATTTAATAATTGATGATCATTTTAACACCTTTCCTTTTAGGATACTTTGGAAATATTTAAAAGTTTTAAAATAAAACGTTTTGCCCATTACTTTTAAAATTAAAGAAAAACAAACCAGGGACAGAAGAGCCGTCGACAGGTCTATTTGCCTGTCACTGGGCCGGGATCTCTTGCTCTCCTTTGGCGTTGCTAACCTACATGCACGTGAACTGTGTCCACCACCCCCTCTCAATGCGACCCTCCAAGTTATTTGCTACATAAGTTTAAAGTGAAGCCATGTAGTATTATGTAGTCAATATGTAGTCGATCGTATCCTGTAAGGGCAATTCACTGAATAGTATGGAATCCCAGGAGGGCCAAGCGAAAAAAAATTGAAAAAAAATTTTTTTTTGAAAAAAAAAAAAAAAATTGNAACATGGACTTATTTATCCCATGTGGAAGTAAAATTATCAAGCGACCGGGCCTCAGAGGCCCGGTTTCCAGGAAATGGGACTAACTTTTGGAAAAGTTAATTTCTACATATGTTGTAAATTATTTCAAAACTAATTATTTATCCACTGATGGGGTATAAGTTGCTTGAGGATTACATGAAAGGAACAGGCTCAAAACCTCATGCTAATGAAGAGAGAGCAAAAGATACAGGGGTCCGGGCCTGCGAGGCCCCTGAAAGGTGATTGAGGGTTAAAAAAAATTCAAGAATACTCTCCACTTACAACTGTACTCTTCCAACTTGATTCCTGATCTCCTCATCATCTGGCAAAGCATCTTCATCTCCTGACTCGTGTTCCATTATGTCATCTTTTTCATCCAGGTCTATATTTTCATCACTGTCATACTCACTCCCTGATTATAAAATATTTGAAAGATAAGAATAATAACTGAAGTCATCACAGTCCGTTACCCACATTTTGAGGTAACTGACAAGTTGCTTTATAAAATTATATTAAGAATTTCATTTTTTCCCCTTACGAAGTGGTTCCTGACTGAGGCAAGTACTGGGGAGAAATCTGATGCAAAGCAGGGAGTCAGGCACTTGCTTTATCATTCACACCAAACACACTGTCACACCAACACAATACTAAAATCTACGCCATCAGCCACTAGTGTGAAGCAAATGACCAGTATTTTTGGTATAAGAGTGGTTCAACTATTGAATTCTAAAGACATTATGAGTCTATGTTGAACTAGTAAAAATTTTAGAGATTGTTTGAGATTGATTTCTATTATGTAATGCGTTCATCTTTAGCTAGTTAATATGGATCCATGCATTGCCAGTAGTTTTTCTGAGGCCTAATCTAGTGGCCAGTGGACCCAAATGTTTAAGATTAAACTAACTGCATACATTTCAAAATGTTCTTTGACCAAAGTTTAGTTTGGTTATCAGCAAAAAATTCAAATGCTTATAAATTGCAGTTAAAAAAGCTGAAGTACCTGAAAGTTCAGCTTCCTCATCCACAAATTCTTTTCTTATTTTCCTGAAACAAAAACAAAAACATGACTCCTTGACTTACTAAATAAGTACTTCCAATCCCTCAATCCATTAAGCTAGTGACCAAGTTCAACTTAAATTCCTTAAAAAAATACTTCATGTTCCATGCTATACCACAAATCACAAATGTATGTCACCACACTGAATTTTGAAAGGCGAGTGACATTTGTGAGTGCTAAGCTAAATCAAAAGTGTGGTCTGTGATTTTTTAGTCAACCTTGCAGAGAACAGGTAGATGACAACAGAGACACTGCAGGATTCTCCCCTTTATAACATACACCCCTCATCTGTGACTAGTTTTTACACCTTTATTCCAAAAAATTAAGTTCATGATAACTGTGTTCTGCCTTTTTCTATGTCTTTAGAGGAAGGAGTCCACAGGGCATTATGGAAAAAAAGTTATTTTAGAGTAGACACATACCACCAAGTGACTAAATGATAATAAAAGCAATAACAGCAAACTCATACCCATGCTGATTTGAATAGGTAAAACCAGAGAACTTGACAGGCATTTCATCATCATCTTCATCCTCGCTGTCTCTTACATGACCACCCTCTGCTTCTTCATCGCTGCCAAGGTCATCCTGAGTAATAAAATTGTTCAGTAGAAGATCAATGTGTCTGAATGGCAGCCAAGCAGCTTTGAAAAATAGGATCAAAGAGAAATAATATAAAGGTGCACTTAATTTTTTCTTTACCTTCCCTTCTTTGAAATCTTATAAACAAAGAGTCAACAAACTTGAAAGACTTATAATTTCAAAAGCTAAAAATATATCTGGCATTTAAAACATGTTCAAAAGTTACAAAAAAACTACCTGTTTTTCCTTTTCCCATTCATCGTTTGAAAGGTTGGTCTCCTCGACAATCTCAAAAGGTGCCGTCCCCATATCGCCATCTTCCTCATCACTGTCCTCAATCACAGCTTTACGCTTTTTCGCCACTCGCTGGGGCTTTTGAGGACTGTCTAGATCTTCTTCATCCTTTTCGATCACTTTTGCCACATTCTGAGACTGACTATTGTTTTGAGTTGGTTTCAATGCCGTGACTTGAGATGCTGCTTGTTGACTGAAAAACAAGGCATTCATGAGAGCATGTTTCAAAGTAATTTATTGCCTCAATATTTGATCCTAAAAGAATGACTAGAAATGAAATATTACACAACAACCACTTATTTTGATTATTAAGTCATTTGTGCAAACAATTCAAAATGATTTCAGGTTCATCTTGAGTACATTACAATAACTGTGAAACCTTTAACTGATCAAAAACAAAATGATGAGTTCGGTTACAGTTTTGACTCTTAAGGAAAGTGAACAGTAGTTCAATTAAAAGGCTTATATTCAGCTCCTAACCCCCACTACTACCATGTTCAAACTTTACAGCTAACTATCAACTGTAATATTCAGCTCCCTTCCACCTATCCACCATGTTCAAATTGTTATTTACAGCTTACTCTTTACTGTTCAGAGACGTGAGACAAATATGAATAGGCAGGACAGGTACAAGGCAGACATTTAGTTCCCCCTTCCCAACCCAAATGCCCCCCCCCCCCCCTCCATCCAATGAAGCACAAGTTTTATTAACCTTCCACTGAACTGCCCTGAACAGAGTCCTAGCAACTCATCCATGTTGTCCTGTGTGGGGGCCACTATTTTACTGAATATTCCCCCACTCTTTGGCACTCTCTGACTCGGCTGCTGGGGGCCTGGAAAAGTTATTAAAGGCTATTACTAATAATAAGCCTAATAATGCTAAGAGAATAATTGCAATATTTTGGTTAGCAATTTTCACGTGTAGACTCCCATACTGTTAGCATAATTTAATTAAATCAAAATCAAGTTTTCTAAGAAATTAACTTGCCTTCACCAAATCCACCTGAACACAGGTTAAGAAGTTCATCAAAGTTATCCTGACTCTGACTTTGTCCAAGATCCAACTGACGCTTTGACGACTTTTTCTGGGTTGGATCTAATTTCAAGAATCTAGAGTAGACAGGCAACAATAAATTAAAGAATTACACATCAGTTACTATAACTGAGAATACTTTGGAGAATTATGCAGTGGCATATTATTATTCCATTTTTATTATTGCTTTCAGGCCAAAGAGAGGGAGAGAGTGAAGAAGAGAGGGAGGAAAAAGACAGACTGGCCCTCACCCATCTGCATCAAGAATTTGAGACTGTGACTCGTCATAGTCCAAAGAAAAGTGAAAATTTTGTGAGTCTTGGATATTTTCTTGCTGGGTATGCATAGGTCCATACAAATCTTGAGAATCTTCCACTGGGAGTGTTAAGTCAGACAGTTTACTGCTACTCTGTAAGAGATAGAGAAATTTTATACTAATCATAATTACTTTCTAAATATTCATTTGTGTAAGCACAAAAGTATCATCCATGTGATGACAAGGTACAAATCTATACATAATCCACAGAAGATGATTGGCTTGTTATAACATAAAGCACATGCATATAATCAAAAACTATATAAATTTATTTTTAACAACCAGGTCCAAATTCATGCAGTAAGTATATAATATTACATACATTACAAAAACAGACATTTGGCTGTCATATACTGCATAGCAAAAGCAAAAGACTTACAAATAATACCAAATACAACATTTTCTTTTAAAAAACCAGTGTCGAACTCAAAATAAAGTTTCAATATTACAAATGTAACACCAAGAAAAGACCAAAACACTTACCCTTGATATAGCAGACGGTATTTTGCTGAGCAGTGTGGGGGTGGTTATTTGGGGTTTCACGGGGTTCCCAGTGTGTTTTAATCCTCCTCCTGGTTGGTGTGCTGGGATCATGGAGCCCATCATCTCAAAACTGGTGTCAGCGCTGCTCAGGCTGGTGTCCTTATCTTTGAATAAACTGGGGCGGAAAGAGTCTGAAATAATAAGTTTGATGATGTCATGAATTATCACCAAATAATTTATCACATTAAAAATAATAATAATAATAATAATAATAATAATAATAATAATAAAGAATAATATGAATATATACACTCATACACTAAGGGTACACCCCTTGCTGCTCAAGGCAGGTCATTCAGTTAATTTGATTGTGTTCAGTGGAGTTGGATCGATCTACCTAGTTCAATATGAACATTGTGAATGCACCCTAAGGCAACACTTGGCTCGCAATTACTATGTGAATACTGGGGAAATGTTATGTATCATTTACTTTGGATTCAGATGCTATTAAAAAGTCATTTTATCATGCATCATAGTTCTGGCAATAAAAGTTAAGATTCAGCTAAAATATAAGCAAAAAAAGAACAAATAAATGAAAAAAAAAAAAAAAAAAAAAAAAACTCTACCATATATTACCTTTATGCTGTGGGGTGACATCTTCCTCTACAGGCTGTGTACTAATCAGTTCCTCTTCCAAAGTAGGCGTGTCTCTTCCTACAATTACAGTAGAGTTATATTTTAAGGTGGAATGAAACTGGCTTGAATGTTGTAATTTATGACCACTTGCACAGTAGTAGTAGTAGTTTAAGTTTTATACCAAAATTTTCAATATAAAACCACACATGTACAAAAACAGCCCTAAAGCACAAAAAGCCAGAGAACAGTGTATCAGTGTTTTCAATTCCTCACCATTCTGAACACTTTCTAAGGGAGGTTGACTGTCATCACTGTCAGCAAAGAGGTCCATAGTTTTGGATTTGTTGAGTTCAGACTTCTTTTTCTTTGGTTTTGTTTTTTGTGCATCTGAAAACGAGAGAAGGAGATCTAAACAAGGACTCAGATCATACTGCTTTAAGAATAATCAAATTTTAGCAAATAATAATAATAATAATAATAATAATAATAATAATAATAATAATAATAATAATAATAATAACA